TGTCTGGTCCAGACTCGATTATTTACAAATCGACGCCATATATAACAGGAATATTGCTGAATGCGGCGCAAAACTAAACTCACTCACTCTAAAGCATGGTCATTATCTAATATTTTGCTAGTCTAAATGCAAAGTACAGAACTTTTGTTTCCTTGTAATGGCTTTTCAAGCATACAGTGCAAACCAAACGTATATATGATCCTAAAATGATATAGCTGAATTAGAAAAAAACATAATTTTAATAAAATTATGTTTAATGTGTAAAGTTTAATTCATATGTTTCTCATCAAATGCACTTTCTATTAAAATTGAACTTTGACCTTAACAAAATATTTTTTGCGATGAGCATATACATGTATATAATTTTATATAGGGCCCCTGCACGGTAGTCATGCACGGTAGCTGATGACAATCGGCTTTGAATCAAAAAGTTGAATTATTCCTGATTGTGAAAATTCAAATCTCATTCGGTCGCCAGAACTGCACTACATTTTCATCATTTTGGGGCTCTGGCTTCCGGACCAACAGAAATATAAAGAAAATAGTTAACATTTGAATTCGATTGGTGCCATGTTTTCTGTTATGTCTGATTAGTTGAAAGTCACTTTTGTTTCCAAACTTTTAGAAATTTTGCGCAGGATGTTTTGATTTCTTTATTGTCATGATATTGAACTATTATTTAACGATAAAAAAAATAAGACGTTATGGTGAAGTCACTTTATTCACTGAGAAAACTAGAACCAATCCATTGTAACTGCTAACAAAATAGGGGGTGGTTGTTGTTCGTTTGTACAGCAGTTAACATTTTTTCTGCTGAACAGCCTATTGAATGAATTGATATATTGAGTCAATTCAATGCTCTAATGTTACAATAATAATGTTGAAAGATGAAGAGATTCGGAAGTTTTCCTTTGGTCAGTTACTAATTCACTATGTGCAGGGATGAGGGATGGTCTGAGGACGGAGAAGGGGCTTAAGATAGGTAATAGTGTAGGGACAGGGAAGAGTGTTAGGATGGGTAGGTAATCGTGTGAAGAGAAGGAATAGGGAGAGTGGGGATAGGGAGGGTGACAGACAGGAGTTTTGGGACAGGGAAGAATCTGAGGGATTGGTGTTAGGGAAGGGTGTTACCATAGGGAACAGACTGGGGACAGGGAAAAGCGTTAGGATAGGGTAAGTGTTAGGACAGGGAAAGGTGTGGGGTCAGGCAAAAGTATTAGGACAGCGATGTCACGACAGGATTAGTAAAAGGGTCTTGGAATAGGAAACAGTATATGGATAGGGACAGCGATAGGGTGTTAGGTTAGGGAAGGGTATTGGGACAGGGTCAGCGAAGAATATAAGGGTGTGAGGTTGCCAGCGCCTCACGTTTCTCGTCCAACACAGTGTTTCATGACAGGTACCTGTGTTCGGACAGGGAAGGGCGTACCCAGTTGTGAGGTTGCCAGCGCCTCACGTTTCTCGTCCAACAATTCAGTCACTGTTGACGGGTTCATGACATGTACCAAATGGCCGCTGGTACCTGTTGCTGACAGCACAGTCTCTCACTCATGACTGTGTTCCTGCTGATGAGGTGACCCAACGCTATTGGTGCTGATGGCGTCACTGTGAGCATCCGGTTGAGCAGATGAAGAATGCGCAGGTGATGGTCATTTTGTGGGGTGGTCATTCTCGGTCTTTCTGGGAGTATCAGTTCTGGGGCTATCAGATATTTGGAGAGTCTGGATTACGCGGCTCATTAGTCTGAAAATGTCTTTCTTTGTCTAGCTGAACGTTCTGTCAATATGCCTGTTTGAAGCCCCCGTCTCTGACATTCCAATTGGTCTTTCTGGCTCCGCTGATAATAAGCTTGCCATTGCGATGTATTATAATGTTATACTTCTAACCCTCCATGTTATTACACTGTTGATGCGTAACGTGCAGTTGCGAATCAACAAAATCAGGATTTGCTAAGAAATATCCAAGTTGTTTGTTGGAAAATAATCCCCAAACACCAAGCGTGTACTTTCTTTTGTACATCAGTTTACTTAACTGCACCTTATATGTAACATAGCCCAAATCAAGCATCTATCTGAGCTGAATAAAACAGGTATCGGTTGGTCTGTAACATGCTAATTTGGTATCACCATACCCTGGCGAAGCGGAACGTTGGTGGTTTTTCAAACCACCTGTGCAGATAGAAATGATTATTTCACACAAGGATCGTTGGACAGACTTAGCTCATCGATAGTTGCGATCAACTGGATCAGGTGTTAAGCCCCGAGTGACTGAGTGAGTGAGTGAGTGGGTTGGGTCAAGTTATTGAGTGAGTTTGAATGAGTATGGTGTTACGCAACTTTTAGCAACATTTCATCAACATCACTGCTTGGGACAGAAATGGGTTCCACTCCACCTAACGATCAATTCCCCAATAGGGGCGGTGGGGTAGCCTAGTGGTTAAAGCGTTCGCTCGTGACGCCGAAGACCCGGCTTCGATTCCACACATGAGTACAATGTGTGAAGCCCATTTTTGGTGTCCACCGCCGTGATATTGCTGGAATATTGCTAAAAGCGGCGTAAAACCATACTCACTCAGTCACTCAAATCCCCAAAACGCGGTCTGTGGTGGGTGGAGCTGTTCCGGCGAACAGCAACGTTGACTTGTGCAAAACGGAGTGGTTAGTCTGTTCGCTGTGAATGAACATATACGTAACTCAAATTATACACTGATAACAGGTGTCACAATAGGCATCCACCTGTTGCTGTTGTAGTAGTGTCATATGACATGTATGCATATTTCACCAGTCTGAAACCCCAAAACTTCGGAAGAGTTTGTATGCATTTTGTTTAACGTCGCACCCCATATTGTCTAGCTGTGTGACTGTGATATGCAAACTATCAAGTTATCATTCGATCTCATACATTAACAGGTTCCCATCAATCGCCTCTTGCTTAAGACAACCCAAACCCGGATCTTCACAAGTGGTACTTTGTGTTCACAGGTAGATTGTCTGCACAGGTAAATGTAGTTTATGTGCACCGGTAGAAGACTTAAGATCCTCGTATATAAAACAGGAAATGACATGTGTAGAGGGTTACGAAATAGGACGAAGAGTTTATGATAGTCGCTGGTCCCAAATACGTTTATGATTGTCTACTTTATCTTCCAATGATTGTCATAATATGAACATGTCGAATCGTATTAAACAGCTTCCATGTTGACATCAATACAAAATGCCAGCAGAATCTGCGTGCGTTTGAAAATGTATTGTTATTTTTGTTGGAAAATGTCAACTACTGATTAAGGGATAGGTATTTCCACGCCAACAGTAGCCTGAAACAATGGGGCGTACGTTCGTGCGTGATCATCAGAAGTACTTCAAACAAGAACGACAATTTTCTTCAGGAATAGGCATTTCATGACGATGGTGATGATGATTTGTTCAAATTGTTTACCAGCTGTTCAATTTATATTCCCAAATTTGTATTAAAAGAATCGCAAAATGGGATTTTGTTCATGGATAGGCATTTCAAATAACATTTTATTTCAGCTGTAATAAGATACACAAAATGACTTAAATCAACATCAGAACTACTTCAAACAAGAATGAATTTGTTCATGAATACGCTTGATCATCATCACTGCAAATTCGTACTGTGAGTGAGTGAATAGAACAGCAACAACACCATCTACAGGTTGTGATGGTTTAGACTATTTTAAAACCAATCTTTCAGCTTCAAACAGTTAGGATATGTGAAAGGGCACACCCGAAATATTACCCCAGAGTATGATGATCTCAGTATCCACTTTTCTATTAACACAGAACTGAAAACTCCCAACGGTACATTCTTCGTAAGGACAGAGCTAAATATGGTTTCAGATCCTGAACACAAACCTACACACCCTCCTAATCATATAATGTTGACATGTTTTGGGTCTACACATGTTTAGCATTGTGTTTAACAGTTAAACATGTCACAGTAACACTAACATTGTCATTAACATGTCATCGTGATAGAGATCAGGGCCCACTTGCACAAAGCGATCTTAGGGCTACGACCATTTTAAGCCTATGTTGGAGAATGGGATTTACAATCATTGTAGCGCTAAGATCGCTTTGTGCAAGCGAGCACAGGTATAGAATCTGTACCTGATAAGACATTACATTATGGCTAATACTGCTTATAAAAAGTAGTTATTTGTGTTAGAACTGATGAATTATTGTGTTATTAGTGTTTGGACAACAATCATTTTATGTTCACTTTCTTGTTTTACATTGACAAATAACTACGTAACAGTACATGACAGTTAGAAGGACCTCAAAGGGACCACTAAGTTCGATAGTACGATATAACCACAGTTTGCCATATGCATTTGGCCCCATGAAGGCCCGGGTTAGAATTGATCTTCAGTAACCCATGCTTGTCGTAAGAGGCGACTCACGGGATCGGATGGTCAGGCTCGCTGATTTGGTTGACACATGTCATCGGTTCCCAATTGCGCAGATCGATGCTCATGATTTTGATCACTGGATTGTCTGGTCCAGACTCGATTATGTACAGACCGCCGCCATATAGCTGGAATATTGTTGAGTGCGGCGAAATACTAAACTCACTCACTCACTCATACGCATTTGACTGCAAATTTCAGCGAGAGGCCGAGACAAACAAAAAGAAAACATCTGATTTGCTGACAGTAAACTCGATGGCACCGAGGTGGGGTTATGCGAGCTGCCATCATATGTTAGCTAAACCACCAGAACCAATGAATAATATAGCAATTTGGACGTTCTATCAAATGCATTGTAACAGGTTATTAATGAACAATAACAATGCCTGTCTTTGTATGATGAGTATATTTGATCAAATATTTTGTCGAAAAATGTCGACCCCTCTGGTTTAGCTACGATGTGAATTAGGCGGAGATTTACTGAGTGTAAAGAACCGACTAAAGCTCATAACATACACCATAGGTTGAGTACTGCAACTCACTGAAACAGCTTGATACACTAGTTAGCAAATCACCAGTGTTCATTTTCATACTGTATTTGTCTCCAGTGTCTGAAGGGAATGGATCCACAATGTGCTCCGCGGTCGATGACTATCGCTTTCTGGTTTATTTCTGTATAATCAAATGCCTTATTCCTCGGACACTGTACCAGAATGTTGCTGAAGTCTCTTCTTTGTACTCCAGCTTTCATGGCCAACACAACACTGACATACACGTCATCCATGCTCATTAGCCTGTTGGTTTCAGAAACTTTGTACATGGCAGCCCAACTTTCTGGAGTTGTCAGATAGGCGAAACCTATACATAATGGTGGCAGAACAGAAAAGGGATACTCAGATACTGGAGTGTGCCATTTTGACCTTTTGTTTCTGATAGGATCTTGACCTTGTAACAATTTGCATTCAATGGTGAGCCCTTGAGGTTCAGTTCTCAGAATATGGTCAATAATTCTGTATGGATTGACAAACGTGTCGTCATCCAACTTCAGAATGTATTTAGCTTTACAGCTATACTTGAACCAGTGCATTGCCATAATGTGTTTCCTCACAAGATTCTTGTAGGAGTCTGGGAAATTTCCTTGCACAATATCATCATATCTCCGGGACTCGTATTGTAAAGCATCCTGTGCTCGTTGCTGCTTGACTGCTGCTAACATGAACACAACAGTTATGTTTCTGTTTCTGTAAGATCCAATCGATCCAAAGGTTTCTCGTATCAGATTCCTCTTTTGAATATTGCCGGGAGCTGAATGAACGATAATAGCCAAGAAAGTGGAACCAGATCTACATCGCTTGGAGTCAAGGGAGAATTTGTACCAGTGACGATTGACAAAATCGTCTTTCGTCTCACCAGCCTTTAACTGAAAGAATTTCGATATAAGCGGAGTGATGTCTTTGCCTCGTACTAAGGTAGGAGGAAATGTTGCCATCTTTGTTTTTGTTTGTGGTGATGTTGCTGCTGCTGTAGAGGAAGACATGATGATACGCCACTTGTCCAGCAGACTTCTCGTCGTGGTTCTTGGGTTTGAAATGTCACCCTCCTCAACTTCATGTGACGAAAGGTCTCCCGACAGATGAGTGCCGACGTTCTCTGGACCATTGACCACCCCATGATTAACGGTGACTCTACAGAGTGTGTCTCGTTTCCATGTAGACAGATACATTATAGTCCATGCACTGATACAGATGTACAGGCATATGCACAATAACAACGCAATGGTGTTGAAGTTTCTCTGCTGACATGTGCAAGTCATCACCGATCTGTTATGTACTCAACGGATGTCACGAAAACTAGACAGCAGCTGTCGGTTGCCCACTTCACAACCTGGAACAAATATGGGATGGTTTTATATGTTGAGCTTGTGCATATTTGTAATGAGTTTACATAAGGCTGCATAAAAAAAGTTAAATGTTCCTGGGGCACATTTTTTTCAAAAGTGATGAGGGCGGTAGGACTTTCTTTTTACTTTTTTGATCGAAAAAAGGGACGAGGGAGGAACACATTTTCATTTTTTTCTCTCAGAAATACAGCTTGGGGAGTTAAGCACGTGTTTAATGAGTTGTAGATTCAGTCAAGCATATCGTCAACTCTTCTTTGGCCTTTTTGTTGGCCCAAAGGTTCCGTCTCCTCTTGTTTCCATGTGTGGACATTGGAGCAAGGAACACACATAGGGTAACTCTCTTTTGCAGCATCCTCACCTACCAGAACATGAGCCCTGGCACAGTAGAAACACACATCTGGACATGATCTGCTAGCCTACTGAAATATGGTACCTCAATTGGTGCCATACAAACCAAGTTAGCCCTGTCGAACACTTTGCTGACAATACTGTCAATTCTGGGAGTACTACCATCAACAGCTTTCATGTCTTTGAGTTCAGTTCCACATGTGTAGTCAAAGGGCTCAATAAACCAATCAAGCCGAGCTAAATCAGTTGGTGTTGGCTTGGATATTGGTATTTTTATGATTGATATTTTATCAGTGTGTCAATTAATAAATACATCGTTATTCATAACTTCAAAATAAACGTATATCCCTAACTATACTGAGTCAAAAAAGAAACTTCACAAAATGTAATTTGAGAAATAATGAATAATTTTTCTCTGATGATACATCTATGTATCCGAAATGGGATCCCTATCTTTCGACTCTAGAAAAACGTTAGCAAAACCCACTCAAACCCATCCATTCGTCGTGCAAATGACGTTAGTGCCAAATCAGGTTTTGCACGTGCAGTCGATCACGTGATCTTCGCATCGAAGTTTTCTTCATATGCACGTGTTTACATTGGCCTCAAGAATTGAAAAAACACTTTTAAACCACAGTTCTAACGGTACTTGAAATGCCACGATTGTCAAATGTGCAACGTGAACGTGCCGTTGGCATGTTGCAAGCGGGAAGATCAGTTATTGACGTCGCAAGAGCAATGGGATGCAGCCGTCGTACTGTGTATGACTTGCGAGGTCGTCTACAACAAACTGGCACCACTTCTGATCGCCCAAGGTCGGGTCGTCCACGTGTGACGTCACGTGCAGAAGACCGTCAAATCGTCCTACGTCACCTACGTGACAGATTTCTGCCGGCTACACGAACCAGGGCTGAGATGTTTAGAGGTCGACTGTCCTCACAGACCATTCGAAATCGGTTGCGGGCTGCCAATCTCCATTCTCGACGTCCATATCGTGGGCCAATATTGACGCCGTTTCATCAAGTCAACCTCTGCTGTGGGCCCAACGTCACCTCAGATGGACCCAGAGAGACTGGAATCGAGTCGTCTTTAGCGATGAATCCAGGTTTACCCTCAGATTCGCGGACGGCAGGCATAGAGTCTGGAGACGACGTCGTGAACGGTATGCCCAATGTTGTGTACAGGAAGTCGACAGATTCGGGGGCGGAAGTTGCATGGTGTGGGGTGCTTTCTGTGGGAACAACCGTTCCCGACTTCTGGTCATCCGTGGAAACCTCACAGCTGCTGCTTACCGCGACCAGGCGCTCACCCCTGAACTCGTTCCTTTCATGGCGGCTCATGGCCCAGTTCCAGCATGATAATGCTCGGCCGCATACCGCGATGTTGACACGAAATTTCCTTCAAAACGCTGGAATCAACGTCATGGACTGGCCATCGAGGTCCCCTGACCTTAATCCAATAGAGTACGTTTGGGATGCACTTGGGAGAAGGCTTCGTGGTCTTAGGAACCAACCTCAGAATTTGCAGGATCTTGGCGCTGCCTTGCAAGAGCAATGGCGCAGAATCCCCAACCACGTGTTCACAAGCATCAGGCAGTCGATGAGGAGACGGTGTTTGGCAGTGGTGAATGCGCGGGGCGGCCATACACGACATTGAACTGAGAAATTTCGCATTTTTATTCTTGTGACTTGACATTCTGTATACCCATGTTTTGGAACGGCGGTGTAGCCTAATGGAACTGATTATGGAACTGTCAGTGTATCGAGTACATCACACAGATCTCAGCAATGAAATAATAACAATTTAACCATCTTACCATCTCTTGTTCTTTTATAGTGCCCTGAAGAAAGAATGTGAAGTTTCTTTTTTGACTCAGTATATATATGTTTATTTGTAACAATGACCTAAAGACGAGTACTACTGAGATCTGGTGCCGACATCACATCACGACATACTGTGAACTGATTGGAAGACAAATAATATTATAGTGGAGCGGCTAATGTTAATTTAATGATAAAAGCTTAACACTTTGCACATATATTGAATAATGCATAGTGAACATTCTCAGATATGGAGACACTCAAAATAATTTCATTTTGCACATGCGCAGGTTCGTATGTTGTTAACAAACAACAATATTCCTGCTCCCTCCTGTTATATGGAAGCAGTCTGTAAATAATCGACTCTGGACCAGACAATCAAGTGATCGACAGCATGAACATTACATAACACCATTACCATCACAAGGAGGCTGCGACGTCTGAGGGTACGTCGTCCGAGCACACGTCCCTTCCTCACAGATAGGAGCAGGCAGAGACGTCTGATGTGGTGCAAACTCCAAGAACTGCAACTTAAGAAAATGGCTTAGGGTTCATTGGTCTCATGGACGTCGCTTTCTTCTACACGTTGCCCACTGCCGTAGGCACTATACAGACGTCGTACAATCATGAGATGATCTATGCAGCTGAACCCATCAGTGACGATATGGGGTTGCGTTCGATCTCCCTGTTAGGCATCCTTATAGAAATTGGGAAACACAAGGGTCAACGTTTTCGACAGCAAGTACGGATACGGCCATGGGGCCAAGTTATGTTATCTTTACCAATCGTCACATATTCATGGATGAACATCGCTAGGCCGTCTCGTGCCGTCATCGCCATTGTTAGAGAGCAATTCCATCGAAACATTACCATGGCCCGCAACGTCATTGAACATGTTTCGGACTGTTAGATGCGAAGTTCGAGCTGGACCTTTTCCTGTTCAAAGTGAAGAATTTAGGCATACACTGGCAGAGGAATCAGATGCTACTAATACAATGATTGACTGGCAGTATGAGGAGGAGACTGACAGATGTTATAAGTCCGAGGGATGGCTACACATGATACTGGTGTGGTCGTGTGTGGTGGTTCATACAATCAGAACAACCATTGTCTAAAAACTGTGCGATTTCTGGGGTATACGTAGTCATGGTGAACATGCATACTTTCCAGCACTGTGGATGTTTACGTTTTTGTTTATTCTTCTCAGATTGCAGTGATGTGTTACCATGCTTCAATTTCAGTTTTGTTTTCGTTGAAATCAGAGTAAAATGTGTTACAGTTACCATCTTAATCCGTGTAATTTTGGTTTTCATAGCATATGCACCAAGATGTGTCTTCGTCCTCATCTTAAAATAGTGAGTTATATTGCACGACGAATGCTCATTCATATGTTTCATTATGGCCTTGAGCACGAAGTCTAAATTCAGTATCGTAACGTGTCATTTGTAGTATAACTGCCACGGGGCCTGTAAGCGAAGACGATTAATTAGTTTTCAATTTCTTATAAAATATTTTATGAACATAAACTTATAGTACTGTCATCAACCATCATGAAAACCAAAACCTCACAACTTAATTATGATGAAATGGTAATTTCTAAAGGAAACGTATAGAAAATATTTTATCTGACATTTGTAAAACTGAATTAGGCAAAATTGTCACTGAATTGCAATAGTGATGTGTGGGTTTTTTAAAATATCACACAAGAAAAGTGCGGTTTAGTGCATGTTTAGTGGAATAAAATATTGATAAAATAATGACTGCTCCCTTGCGAAGGACAACTCTGGATTATGTGCCGCACTTGCCCTTCAGTCTAATAACTTAAAGATTTTATTGTTAAAAATATCCAAAAACTTTACTTATGAATCATTGTTTTAGAGTTCTTTGCCAAATAGTACGTGCATTTTCACTCAGTGTTGATCAGATGAAACCATTACACACTTATCTTTTATCATGGAGCTCCATTTTTGAAAAACTGCCAGCTACCTGCCATTTTGAAAGAAGGGAGCATTTATATTTGGGGGATGTTTTTACTTAATGCAAATTAACTATTTCTCTTCTTTTCCTGTACCTGTAAACAATTAATTGTGAAATTAATGGTTTGTAATGATTGCCTATGCTGACTATGTAAGAGGAAACATTGAAAACAGTGCGACATTTTTTGTCTACTGTACATGCGCACACGGACATTAAAATTTGTGCCTCAATATCTGAAATTATTTCAGAAATGTTCTTGAAAATGATGACCAACTTTTGTGCTTTTATCACTAAATGCACATTTTTATGGAAACTTCTTCTTATGTGCTTCAGTATGACACAGTTGTCATCAGCATTTCTCCAGGAATCAATACTTGATACGATTTTGTACAAAGTACATGTTTCCAGGTGTATATTCATATAAGGCATAAGCAGCAAGAGCTTCCTGTATCTTGCTACCTTGTTTGAGACTATTTACTTTTCCCGTCTCAAAGTGTGCATATCAGAGTAAATCTACGGTAAATTTCTTCAGCGCCTATCCAGATTCAGATCTGTATAGCATGTTGGTTTTTCAGTGGTGACCACGAATTGCAGAAACAAATCTCCTCTGCAACACAAGTAGGCCTTTACCAAAACAACACAGGATTTCTTGCACTGTTTCGCAGGGACACAGACGGTCAAAATCCTGGTTACATAGTTACCTTCACCTCTGCGACTGACGGGTAGTTTCTCCCTTCTATTCCACAATGAAACTTCGCTAATCAAAATCATTCATTTCTTGCAGTCTTGGAAAGAATTTAAACGGAATATCGCCACACTTGTTTCTTCTGTCTAAAACAATTGCTTTCGCATTCAACACTCTCTCAGTCATCCTTGAAGCAGGTTTAGGACAGTTGTACAGCAAGTTCTCGAAGCTTCTCTTCTTCACTCCAGCCTTCATGGCCAACACAACACTGACATACAGGTCATCCATGTCCATGATGCGGCAAGTTTCTGAAGCTTTGTACAAGGCGTTCCAAGTTGTTGGTGTTGTTATGTAAGCAAACCCGAGACAAAAAGGTGGTAATTTGGGAAATGGATACTGGGATACAGGCGTGTACCATTTAGATTTTTTCCTTCTATTTGGTCGGTCACCATAGATGACTTTACAATGCATCGTCATTCCCTGAGGCTTTTCCATTAGTAAATAATCTATAATTCTATAAGGGTTAACGAATGTGTCATCGTCTAATTTAAGAATATACGTCGGGTTACAGTTATATTTGACCCAGTGCATGGCCATAATATGTTTCCTACTGAGATTTTTATAACTGTCCTGGAAATTACCTTGAACAATATCGTGGTGAAGTTGTGATTCTTTGTTTATGGATTCCTGCAGGGTTTGTTGTTCAACAGTTCCCAAAATAAAGACAACTGCCAGGTGTTTGTCTCTGTAGGATGTAACAGACCCGAAAGTTGCTCGAATCATATCTCTCTTATTGTAGTTCATGGGAGCAGAATGTACCACCATTAACAAGAAAACGCTTCTCTCAGAACATGTTTCTGAAGTGTGAATGAAGGAAAACAGATGCTGGTTGATGAAAGGGTCCTTTGTCTCGTTTGTTTGCAACGTGAAGTATTTGTCAATTTGACAGTTAATGTTGTTGCCATTTACTGTGGTTAAATAGAAATCTGAGTTGGGAATAAATCTGTAATCACGCGTCTTTGAAGAAACAGGTGCTGTCGTGCTTTCAACAGGTGTTGTAGTCCTCGGAGTATCTGACATTGTTTGCTCTGTTATAAACTCACTCATTGTCCCTATCACTGTTTCATGTCCCTTCGTGAATTGCTGACAGAATATACGAAATTGAGGCTTTGATGTCATTGCGCCGAGGTTCCAGCAGAGGTACATAGTTATGCATATGCAAGGTATGCTATAGAGGAACCATAACCTGGACACCATACCCATCTCCCCTGGAGAATGTTGTCTCTGAAAGACATGGAATGTTGTTAATTAAACTAGCTGTTACAATCATAACCCAAAACAATAATGAAGTTGATCATCCATAAAGTTGTGTCGTCTCTATACCAGCAACTTCTAGAATGCCACTCAAACAAGCCAAAACAATACGCCAAGTTATTAAACTGTCGTTTTCCCTTTCCTTGTGTTTCATCATTCATTTAAATGGAATATTTCATCGCAGTATACCTCATGATCAACATAAAATCTTCTTGACGTGTTTTCATGTCGGTGTACATAAGTATTGATAGAATGAACTATATATCAATGGGTGGTGCATCCATAAATACCATGACATCGCCTGCGTAATTCAATTCCATGTTCTTAGTTGTTAACAGTTGTTCTTATACATGAATAGATTGTTCGAAGGCGAGGTGCTAAACCATACATACAATTCATTGTACGACATGACTCGTGTAAACCAAGCAAACTTAACTCAGGAACACTGAGGATCAGAATATATATATTGAGAATTTGGCTGTCATCACGATTTTTTTAATTAGCAAGTGTTGCCGTACTTTCACCAGTGTAGTCCTTGGGGTGTCTGACATATATAGAAAGAAATGATACAGAGGATGGTTTGCGGATGACAGGCCAGCGAATGACTAATGCTAATTTATGAGACTAAATAAATTCAGGAGACATTTCCCAAGAGTATACTCCTTTTCACAGACACTTTGGAAAGTATTCTGACATCGGACCAAAAACTCACTCAGCACATGTGCGATGATAGCTCTGTTTGAAGCTGATCCATAAAGGTTCTTGTAATAGTGACTATGGATTGCAATGATTTGTGACTATGGATGAAACCTGAGTTCAATATTTCCGATCTGAGTCCAACCAACAATCAAAATAATGGAATCATTTGATACTACCGCTATTTCAGCTGGCAAAGACTCCCGTCAGCTGGAAAGGTTATGTCTCCGTGTTCTAGGATGCCGATTTTGTCATCATGGCGACATTCTTCCTGAAGACTAGACAATCATTGGATATAATGCTGCATGTCTGGGGTAATTACGGGTCAAAATGAAACCTAAGAGAGGTGGGAAGCTGAGAGAATAAGTGGCTTTATACCAGAACAATGCACAAGTGCACAAATCCGTGCTACATTCCATGGGTGTGGCTTTGACCACCTTCAGCATCCAACATCTTCTTGTGGCTCCATCAGACATTCATATGTTCCCAAGCTAATCAATGTCACAGCAGCGGTTGAGAACGTATTGAGCAGTCAACTCTCCAACGTATGCATCTGTATACGAACGTGGCGAATTATTGTTTAAGAAAACAAATAATTTATGTCTTTTCGTCAAATCTTTCTCTGTGACCATCAGAACATATCTATCACCCATCGTATATCGATTACCTTGTTCATAGCAGACGGGCCCATTCAGCATACAGAGCACCATAGAGATATAAAATAACCCACACCAAGTTGCCATTTCTATTATTGTCACAACTCAGGAAATCTTATACGTTGTGGGTTGGTTGTGACGACCTTGGTCTTGACCTGCCCTGAAAAGAGCTAGCGATCTGAGTGGTTATAGCTAACCTTGAATATGTCCCATCAGATCTCTGGTTCTTTTGAGTGCGGGACAGGTTAAGAACTAGATCGCCAATGGAGAGAGGGCACGGCAGGTCTTTTGGCGATGAACTGATGTACGTAAACTCATTATAACAGTAAGATGTAGGTGTCTCCGAAAAATGGCGATTAGCCGCTGACAGGTGGCATCAATTCAGCATGTTTAGATGCATGCCGTTTTTGTATACCATGAAATTATCATTATTATTATTATTATTATTATTATTGGATATTTATATAGCGCACATATCCAAGCACTAGTGCATGCTCAGGGCGCTGGTATTTTATCCCTCGATCATTGGATGTCAATCTCAACTGCACATCTTATTATCCATCTCAACTCGCTGGGGATCATACAACTCTTGCAGCCACAAGGCGCACCGAGTTTTTGTGGCTTTCCCACCCTTACGGGGTACCCATTCACAGCTGGGTGGACTGGGGCACATAGTCAAAGTACTTTGTCCAAGTTCACTGCACGTTGCTGTACCCTGCAACTAGGTGTAATTCATGTGGCCACGATCTGGTCATATACCAACGGATTCGTGGGTTCTTTTAAGTGCACAGTGTTGTGTACTGTACACTAGGGGTTGTGACAACACTGAAAGAGTCGGTACACAAAGTTGACTCCAAGGTATTTACACCCGGTCACAGGTGGGCTCGATCCCGGCACCTCATGCTCGCTGGATCACTAGCCTACCACGTTATAGCCAGCTCGCCCACCACGCCCTAAATGAAAATGAAAACCAAAATCGGTAAGCTAGCGGTGCAAATTTTAAAGAGGCATTTTGGCTCGGAACACCCCAGCTCCCAAAGTACTGCTTCGATTTTTGTGCTGTATGTCTTATTCATTTTGTAGGTAAATCTATTGGCTTGAAATGCGTGCATACTTTTAATGGGGTATGTACAGTGAGCATAGTTGAATTCGCCCTGAAACGAACTTGGTGCATTGACCTGTTTGGACCCCTTTCCCTATATATATACCCCGTCAGTGATGCCAGTTTTTTTGCGTTACAAGCCCCTGTGGTTGTGGAAATGTTAAGTTGTAACGTAGGTTTTAGCAATGTTGTGACGTTGTTACCAGCATTGATGTTATCTACTGTGGTTTGAACATGAATAGAATGTTCCAAGGCTAGGTGCTATACTATACATACTTCTATTTGCACGACATGACACGTGCTCTCCGAAAACGTTCAAACTAGACAAACTGAACTCACGAACATTGAGGAACATATTCATTTGCGTATTGCAATAAGACGTAAAGTCTGATATTTACATACCTTTGTTGGAGCTAGCCTGACAGTATTGTATTGACGTGAGACAGGTAAAGACATTCTGGGAATGAAAACACATCTTGCTATAACAGAGGTATGTTGAAGTTTGGCTATATTTGGTATATTTATAGTCTGAACAGCATTTAGGAGTGTCTGACCCTTTGGTATATACGCCCTACGTTCGTAAGTAAAGATCTGTTGTAAGATCATTACTTACATTTGAAGCCAGTCCTGGGCTATCGAAATCTTAAAACATATATTTCCAAGGAAAACACCCAATGCAGCTATTCTTAAAAGAGATCATTTCTGCTTCATGACATTAACAGAGAGACAAACTCTGCAAACCACACCACCAAATCAACGGCATTTACAATTTAGTTCGAACTATGCTTTAACTATAAATAGCAACTATACCAAGAATATTACGAATTTATGACACGCATCTAAACCATGAATGTAAGTGTATAACAAGGCAATGATGTTGGAATGTAATACTGTTTCAGAAACGTTACACCATTCATTTTTACAATGTGGTAAGGTTATGTTTGAGCGTCTCCGATACTATAGAATCATAGTGACATTGGTATTAACATTTGATATACTAGATGCGATAAACGTTCAAACTATCATTATAACCCTCATAACGTCCGTTTAACCTCGATGTCTGTCTCTACGTTGGCCTCTGACAGTAAGTATAGGACTCGTAAAGATCCGGGTTAGAATTGTTCATCAGTAACCAATGCTTGTCGTTAGAGTCGGGGACCACCTCCGTGGTGTAGTGGGTCGAACGTCTGCCCGGTGAGCGGAAGGTCGCGGGTTCGATCCCCGGCCGCATCATACCAAAAGACGTTAAAATATGGTACTTGTTGGTCCCTGCCTGGCGCTGGTGATTAATAGGTACAACAAGGACTGGTCGGCTCGGAGTCAGTATAATGTGTCTGAGTGGGGTATTCGTGCTTAACTGCGGCATGGTATCTCAGTGAGCTCGCACTATAAAAACAGCTTTGGTCTGGGCTAGTACAAGCAGACCCACATACACACGCATACACGTCGTCATATGAGCGAAATATAATTAAGTACGACGTTAAACCCCATTCATCTCACCCTACCAAGTAAGAGGCGACTAACGTGATCGCTTGGTCAGGCTCGCTCACTTGGTTGACACATGCCATCGTATCCCAATTACGTAGATCGATGCTCATGCTGTCGATCACTGGATTGTCTGGTTCAGACTCGATTATTTACCGACCGCCGCCATATAGCTGGAATATTGCTGAGTGCGGCGTTAAACTAAACTCACTCACTCACTTATAAAATAACTGTGACTTTGCATGCCCCAATAACCACGCTTTAGTCACTGAAATTAATGGTTATCAGAAATATTCGATTGTATTTATGCGAAAATATTCTATAAGTGATTGTGACAGCAAGAATCATATCAATAAACATCTAATGAAGAATGGACGAACCCCGGATCGAACCCATGAATTTGTCCAAAAAAGCGAATTCCTGCACTCAAAAATTATGTTCTGGTTAACGACGTACAAAACTGCATGGAGGTCAAAATCGAGAAAATTACGCCATTTTCAATATTTTGGTATATTGTGACATAATCATAGGTTGTTATTTATAAGATAGTCTGTCAAAATATTCTGTGGTCTGTTCAACCACTGTCGGAACCTCGGTCAGTTTGCCCTTCGTCATTGGTAAATATGTAACAGTAGTA